GCCCCCTCGGCCCGTGGGACTCCGCCCGAGGCCACAGGGGGCCGCCCAGCCAGCCCTGCCCAGCGCGACGCCTAGGCGCAGATTTACTACTTTTGCTTATGTTTACTTCCTTAATGTTTAAGGAGCTCCCTGCACTGCAGTAGGCGGTTTCCAAAGCCTCCACGTGTAACACGTTGAGAGAAGCAAAGGAATGCGTGAACAGAAAAAAAGCAAGTTTCACTTTCGGAGCTGATACTGTTTCCTGGGCCTAATGGCCCTTTTCTTAGCCCTGAAACAACTGAGTGATCTGGGATCGGCTTCCCCCTGCTGTGCTATCTTCCCACTGCTTAAGTTTCTTCTCCTTTCTCACTCCCCTGTAATAAACGCTTGGCTTAGTCATCAGGGCAAGTTCAGCTGATGTAGTGGGTTGGGGGCACGCCATCAGGAGCACAGCTGAAAGTAGCAGCCATCGTGGTTAGTAGTTTACCATGTCTTGAGTAACGGAGAAGTGATCCTCAAAACTAGTTCTCTATTTTGTCATGAAAGGATGACAGATACGTGCTGAAGTATTGTTAACCAGAGATTTTTTTACATATGAGCCTGCATCAAAAAAGGAGTAGGGAATATGGTTAAAATGAAACTTGGCTGTCAATTTTTCATAGTTGCAATGCTTAGTCTTTTGTTTTCACTCTTCTATTAAAATATTTATTTTTCTTTATTTTTTATTTTTAGGCTATAACTTTGCTGTTATAAATGGAACACAAAGCCTGACCCGTATGACACGGTTAGAGGCATTAGCATTAACCAAGGAAGTTGTTAACATTTCAGCTTTTCTTGAGCTTGCAGGAATTCTGTATTTGATAAAGGATTACAGTATTATGGCTCTTTTGGGAAATTCAAAGTATTTGAAAGCATCCCAAGCATCTGTCCCCTCTCAATATCACTCTTTTTGTGCCTGTTACCTTGTAAGATCAGGTGACAGCTTAATAGAGAAAACATCTTTTATTACTCTTTCCCCCAGCTTAAAAACATCTGGCTTTTCTTTTAAAGAGCTACAGGCCAGGCAAATTGGCCCAGATAATATTGCTTCTTTTCTCTCAGAAAACTGCTTCAAGCAATTGAGCTTTCAGTGAAATGTGACATACCCCATCTGCCCTGTTACCAGGCTTATTTAACTGATGTATAATTCTTCAGTATAGAAGCCGCCTGTTCTCCAAAAGCCCAGGCAACAGGTGGTGTGGAAGCAGTTTGAGCAGGCAGAGAGGTGGCAGAGTCTTAGAGGGAGAGCCTTACTGGGGATGTTCTGTGGACAGGACTGTGAATTAAACTCCTCAGGGGTGACAGTCACAAAGCTGCCTTTGGCAGAGAGCTGAAAAAATGGCAAAACTGAGCACATTGCAAGAAGCTGCTGCCCAGCACCAGTTTAAGATTTTTCTCAGAAATTCTATGTATGTAATTTAGTCTGGTTGCTCAGAAGATGTTAACCAGAGTTGTCAGCCTGCAGAGAGACTGGTTTACACATGCACCACTGCAGAGTCTGTGTGCAAAGACCCTAATTTCACATATACTTTAAGTTGACATAGACAAGGTCTTGCTTCTCTCTGCCTGCTTATTCCTACTGTGCCTGGCCATCTCTTTCCTTTTATGAGCCTGTACTTTTCCACAGCTGCATGGAGAGCTGAACTGGGGAACTAAGATGGAACAAAACCTACCTGCCTCTACCCTGCCTTTCTTAGGACAGTTCCCTGTTATAAGGGGGAAAAGGAGTGGAAACACAGTAGATGAGTTTGGGGTTTTTTTCTGCAAATGTTGGCTTATTGGAGTTTAAATACATGTGTCATTGCAACTTAAAAGACTGTGTCAAGAAAATATATTTTGCTAAGCCTTGGGCTGTTGACCGTGCTGTTGGGAACAGAAGTGGCAGTGTGGTATTCAGAATTGACAGGGTTTCTGCAGTCCTTCACATCAGACAGCTTTGGGTGCATAATTGCTGTACTGCTTCTCCTTCTGTGAACTACAGAAGAGAATAGGCATGTACCCTATAGGATCATGAGCAACTTGTATTTGGGATGTTCTTTGAAAGTGTTAAGTGTTATGGGTATGTTGCTCTCTAATGAAGATTGATAATTACCAGAATGTTTTTTAATGATGAGGCTGTACTGTGGAAATGGATAAATAATGATGATTTTTTTTCTCATTGTTACATAGTGTTTGGGGGTTTTTTTTATGAATGAAGGACACCTCTCTCCATCTCTAGTATTGTAAAAGTATTGTAAAAGTGTGTAGGTATCCTTTGATTCTTATGTTGAGCTCTGTTACCAGAATGCCCTGTCCTGGTCATGGCTGTTCAGGCAGTAGTTCTGTGGTGCAGTTGGCATTTTCATGAGACTTACTTTGGAATGTGGTAGCAGTCTTTCTTATAGGTGCTGGTTTTGGACAAGCTTTGTGTTTCGTACTTTTTTTTTAACCAGATTTGTTTTCTTTGGCCAGGTGTTCAGATCACAGCTCAGTATTTCTTCAGTCAGTGATCAAGATGCCTACAGAGCAGGATTACAGCCAGTTAGCCAGTGGAAAGCCTATGGCCTCAATGGGTATCCAGGTAGGTGCTTCTGATTTCAAGAAAAATTAAATACAAGCTTGTTGCTTTAGATTCATGCATCTTCTATCTTATCTAGCTAAAGGGTGGGATGCAGTGATATATATATGAAGGTGAGGAGGGCTAGTTGTTTCACAGTGAGATCAACCAGACCATAGCTCAGGAGAACGGATTCCTGTTGCCTTTAACAGAGATTTTATTTCTGTAGAATCTGTTTTTCCTCAATGTATGTCATGCAAATTGGATAAGTGGCTGAAATACAGCAATTCCAGCGTTGAAGTGTTGCATTTACTTGTTAGTGTAGGACACCGAGTACAGTAAATGATAAGAAACTCTTGGCCTATTCAGTGTAATTTCATTAGGCAGGTTGTTTCAGAAATTGAAATGTGTCTTAGGTTTGCAGTTCAGCTAGTAGAATCACAGAAAGAGGCTAGGTTGGAAGAGGCCTCCAGAGGTATAGGCCAAAACCCTACTTAAAGCAGGATGAAGTTGCAAGTTAGATCAGGACTCTCAGAGCTTTGTATGGATGAATTTTGGAAATCTCCAAGGACAGAGATTACACACCCTCTCTGGGCACCTGTACCAGTGTTTGGTCACTCCTGTGATGTTTTTATTTTAATGTTATATCTAATAAAAAATCCTCTTGCTGTAATTTGTGACTGTTGCCTCTCATAATCTTGCTGTGCACCTCTGAGAAGAATCTGGCTCCCCTCCTCCCTGTAGGTAGCACTCACCAATACTGGAAATTGTGTCACCAGCCCTCACTGTATCGGGTGTGCTCCTGATTCACATGCAGTTGGTCCTCAAGGCCCCCTGGCCCATTGGTTTGGAGCTCCTCTTGGGTTCTCAGGCCATACTGTTGCATGGGATTATTCTGCCCCAGGTGCAGGATTACCACTGTTGAACTTCCTGACGTTCTCATTAGCCCATTCCTTCGGTTTGTCAAAGTCCCTTTCAGGGCCAGCCGTAGCCTCTAGCATATCCACCACTGCCCCAGTTTAGTGTTATCTGTAACTGAAATGAGGATGAACGTCCCATCATCCAGGTTGTTAATGCGGATGTAGTTATCAGTCTTGGCCCCAGGATCAAGGAATGCAGCTCATGACAGCCACTGGCTAGACTTAAAATCATCAAATCACTACTCTTTAAGCCTGGTGGTCCAGCCACCTTTTGCTCACCCTTTTAATTTGCTCATAAAATCCAATTTGGTTCCAATGATGCTGCAGGAGGCCGAGTGGAAAGCTTTTCTAAAGCCAAGGTAAACAGCATCCCCTACTTCCCCCTTGTCTGGATATCTCACTGTAACAGATAGTAAGGCTAGTTAGACAAAATTTGCCTTCCATACTGTCTGTTCCCAACCACCATGTGTCTGGAAATGGCTGCCTTGAAAGTTTCCTCTGTAATCTTACCAGCGCGACCAGAAACCTATAAGGCTGATGAGCTTGTAGTTCCCCAGATCCTCCTTATTTCAAGGATTTTTGTTTGATTAATTTTGTTTTTTCTCATGTTTCTTTTGGTACATTGGGACCTCGGTCAGTTCTGTGTGGGTTGCTATGAAGCCAGCCTACCATTTCTGAAACTGAGGCAGCCATGCTACCCATCTGGCATGTTTAATACACTGGGAATTCAATAACTTCAGGAGAAAGGCTTAAGCCTCTTGCCTCAACACACTTTTTGTTCCACTTACTTGTCGTATTATAGCTGCACTCACTTGATCTGCTTGTCATTTACTGTCTGTCTAAACACCTTTCCTAGTAATTACATAGGGGGTGTGGGGAATCACAAGTGTTCCACTTAGCTGCATTTTTCTTCTGCTTTGGGAAGGGAAACCTTTCACTAAAATGAAATGTAAATACATTGACAAATTCTCTGTCCTGTTTAGAATCAAGTCATATATGGATTTGAAAAGAATAATATTTTATCCTTTTCCAGCTACCCTTTATCTGGACATCTTAAAGCACTACAAGATGTTTAACCAACTGCCCCAATAGCCCTCTAAATGAAGTGTGAATTTCTTGTTTGTCTGTGGGCAAATGGAAGGGAAGTCATTTGGTTTTGTTCCCACAGCAATGAAATGTAAGACTAAAGAAGCTGGATGAACTTCCATTGTGTTGACCTGAGTTCTGTGAGATGTGGCCGATGCTGTCTTTGGGTCTTTATAACTGACGCACATTTGTTTTATGAGAGGTTTTTCTTGTTGGACTTCTGCATGTGTTATCTTTCTTTTGACTGAGGCTGGAGGCCACTTTCTTTAGGTGCAAATTAATTCCTACTAAGTAGCAAGATTTTGCTGCAGTAAGAGAACTGCATTTGCTTCCTCAAGGCTGTTTCCTTTAGTGTACAGATCCCCAAAGAATTCTTCTTTTGCCCTTCCCACTTACACCAACTCTTTCAAGGCCAAGAGGTTCAATTGTGTTGTCACAGGCTTGTCTGTGGTGTTCTTTAGTCACTTCAGAGAGATTGCTACAGAATATATTTCTTATTTCTTACTCTTCTCCCTCCTATGTGTGGCAAGGCACTGATTTCTAGCACTATTAATCTTGAGTGTTTGCGTAGAATTTTATAGTAAAGCTCTGCAACTGCTAGAAATTCAGTTTCTGCCTTTCTTGACACAAGAAGCATAGCAGTAACCCACTTTTTAGTTGTTAGTGCTTTTGTAAATCTAAACTAATCTGGTTTCTTAGGAGAAACCTAGGTCAATGAAAGGTTTGGAGAGACATGAGTGCCTTCTAAGCTTGTGATATAAAAGCCATAAAATCTGGATTCTTGTTCTCATCTCTGCTTGTAACTAACCCTTCAGGCTTCAGTTCCTTCATTAATACCTGGAGATAATACATGCATAGTAGAATGTAATTTCATTAATGTAGTAAAGTGCTTTGAGAACCCCACATCAAAAGCTGTAGACAGGAAGGGCAGTATTGTTATTCTGTTCTATGCAGAGAACAACAGAAAGTAAATTTTATGCTTCTGGCAAAGAAACTTCTTGTACCCACATCTGTCAGAAGGCTGCCATAGCCTGAAAGTGCAGGGAATGGAGTGAAATGAACAACTGTATGTTATTAATACACTGAAGACTTTTTTTCGAACCAGTTACTTTAATCTTGAGTCTGTGAGAGATGCTGGCAGAAAGCTCTTTTTGTGTTTTTATTACCACTTTCATAAGGCCACAAGGCAAGTTTTTATCCTACTGAGACTGACTCCTAGCCTTGCTTCTTCCTTTTTCATCTATTTTTGTCTCTGTTTAACTTAATATACTGAGAAGTTCAAAAAGACACAGTAGGCCAAAACCTTAAAACCTCCTTTTTCTTTGTTCCTCCTATACTCCTATATCCCTTTGTACATGGATTTTGTGTTGGTGAGTCTTACTGAATTGACAGCCTTTGAGAGAGTGCCTTGATTCTCAGAGTAGGTACAATACAGACTAATAGCATCTTCCTGTCAGACACTCATTCATCAATATGTTGACCCTGGACTGAAAGGAAACACCTCCAAGGTGCTGGGGAGAAAATTCCAGTGAAGAATCTTGTTAGCACTCGTGGTGATGGCAGATCTTATGTCAAGGACTCTTGTCTGTTAAGATATAGACCAAAACAATCTGTTACCCTGCTGCTAACCCACTTTCTTGGGCTGTTGAGGTGCCTGGCTAAATGAATGCCCAAGATTAGCTACATGTTTACTTTGTTTTATTAATTAACAATGCCTGAAAAGTATTTGCAACAAGCAGTTTGGGATATAACTGGACTTTTATCCCTCTTTCTGAGGGTTACCATAGTGAAATACGTATGGATACAACCAGACTTACCTGGAAATAAGCATGAAGCAAAGGAGAGGACCTTTTACATTAACAGAGACTTGCTCAGCCTGGGTACTGCTTTCTACAGTTCTTGGCACTGAAGCAGCAATAAGAAGACAGTATGAGTTCAGAGAGAGTGCTAAATCTAGTCTGAAGTCTAGAAAAACTAGAGCAGAATTACTTTAACTCTGCAAGGTTTAAGAGAAAAATCATGCTGAATCATTAAAAAAAATAAAATTTACTCCAGAGCAAATGACTTTCCAATTTCTTACTCCTTTATTTGCTGTAATCAATATGCCTTATGCAGATATGTTCTTTATTGTCAGTTTTTACTTGGACCAGTGTTGGCTGCCCTCTCTGCCTTCTACCTTGTGACAACCATTTGTTTTTACCAAAAAATTGCAGTAGGTTTTAATTTAACTATAATAGATTTCTTCAGCTTACATGCACAGTCAGTAGTTGTTTGTCTAAGGTGTTTTTTCGCTACCTCCAACACATGTCCTTTGCTCTAGATTTGGAAAAAACCCAGGAAAATGCCTAATCATACTTTCTGTCCATCCCCTCCTTTTTTCTTTGTGGTCAGGGTTTATTTTCATACCAAACCCTTTCCTTCCTGGCTGCCAGCGACACTGGGTGAAACAGTGTCTCAAGCTATACCCCCAGAAACCCAATGTCTGCAACCTGGACCTGCACATGGCTCCTGAGAAGACCATTGACCTGTGGGGACAGAGCAAGGAGCAACTAAGGTAAGTCCACAATCACCTTTGGTGGCCAAAACTCATAGAGCCAGGTCTCAGCTCCAAGAGGGTCTAAGAAAATGAGCAGGGAAGAGAAGCTGAAAAAGATTGTGTATATGCTGGCAGTATACAGATGGTGTCAGGCATGCCAGGTTAAAGATGGATGTTTCATGGCTTCATTTCCATCCTTGTTAATTCCCTAATTTCATATTCAATGGGATTTTCTAGTACCATGTTGTTTTAAAGCCATGAGTGAAACATAAAATAGTGACCCTGGAAGCTTGCTAAGCTCAGCTGCAAGTGGAACCATGAAGTCCCTCTAGGCCTCAGTTTTCCTGAGGCAAAAGGGATCCTTTCCAAAACTCCCCACTCATACTAGCATTTCTTCCCAGTCGCAGTAGACTGTATTTGAAAGGCTGTTATCTGCAGTTCTTTGAATTTCTCAAGTCAACCAGTTGCTGTGTTTTTATTTTCTAAAGTATTTCTTTTGGTTTGATTTTGTTTATGGTTTTTCTTAATTCAGTATGAGATTGAATTAAATGTATCAAATGTACCATTTTAATGGCAATGCTGTTCACTCTGAAAGATTCCTGTAGGTTCAGAATTCTGTGGCTGATGCAGCTGCCTTTCCTCTACCTGATTTGGAATTTAATGGAGTTTTGAAGTCAAGTAGCAAGTTTTTGAAAAAATGATAAAGTCTTTAAAGCCTGAACTTGAATAAAGTCACCTGTAAAGATACATACAAGATTGTGTACTGTAAACGGCATCTAACTTTTAGCTATTTGGGTATTTATCATTACTTTATTGATTTCACTGCTCATTTATCATTACTTTATTGATTTCACTGCTCATTTTCCCTAATGATTGTTTCATGTGATGGTGCAACCAAAGTTTCCTACAATGCTCATCTTCCACCTCAGTTTTTTTAGCGAGATTGACATGCTGAGAGTTTTCTTTAAAAATACTCTTAATATCTACAAGACATGGAATGGCAGAAGCAAGATTTGGACATCTAACTATTTGCTCCAAGGAGAGAAGTTATGCCCTCACTTGTGTTTTCCAGGCTCAGTTAGAATTAGTTACAGAAATTCAGACACCTTTTTTGTGTTCCATCAAGAATGAAAAATTGTTCTTTGAAAGGATTGTGCATTGTGCCCAATAGCTGAAAAAAGCAGGGTGTTGTTCCAGCTTGACAGGCCTCTCCCAGCAGCACCTCCTGCATGAAGAGAATGATCAGAACAGAGGTTAATTTGCAGCTGAATCCAGTTCAGTTGAAAACAGTGTTTAGAAGAGTGATGGCTGGCAGAAACACTGGCAGTTTTATTAAGCACTTGCCTGAGTCTTCAAGTGAGCAAACTGCTGTATTTGTGCTCATACCCAGGGGCAGCAGATCAAAGTAGCCAACTTCTCTAGTATCTGGAGTGAGAGTCTTTCAGGGAGGGGAGAAACAGTGCTTAACTAAAAAGATGTCCATTTCCAAGATGAGTCACAACTTTAATGCTTTTTAAAGCCATCAGGAAGATGCATAAATGTGCTTGGATCATGGCTTATTTGCTCTTTTCAGGATGCAGGAATCACAAAATAGGAAGAGTCGATACAGTTCCTAGACATATATATACACTATGCTTGCCTCACAAAATGGAGCTTTAGTATTTTCTGTAGTGCTGGGGACAATTAAAAGCATAAAAGGGGGCAGAGAATCCCTACAAGGGATATACATATATATGTATGTATGTATGTTCCAGTGTGTAAGGAAAAGGCTGGCAGAGTTTTACAGATGCTATCATTTACCAGTGAATAAAGAAACAAGGGAGCTTTGGACCAAAGACCCCATGCTGTTTAGTCCTGTTCTAACATAGTTATACCAGAATTTCTCTGTGCTTTCTTGTAGGAGCACCTGCTGCTCAGATCTAGGAACTCAATTGTTTCCAGATACATGACACTAAGACTTTTTCTTAGAAATTGCATGCAAAATACCAAGTTCTGGGAATAAGGACCTCCAGAGCATTTTGGTGTTCCCACTGTTGTGCAAACGCTCTAGCACTGTAGTGAAAGAAGGGCACTTTCAAAAGGCATTTGCTAAAAGTGTTCAATTATGAACATTATCTATTAATTGAAGATGTTTGGGAACAAGTTGTGAGCTCTCTTTTTTCTGAATGCTGTGTTACCTGCTTGTAGGCTCCAGAAATTGTTCCAAGCAGAATGTACGTGGTAGTTACTGTGTTGCTGTTAGCTATGACAAAGATGGAAACTGGAAAGACTACTTTCTTTCAATAATCAGTGAGACTAAAGGCAAAGAAACTGGCCTTTTACTCCTGTTCCTGGTTTATCTTAGGAGCTATCAGTAGGGTATAGTTGAAGGGCAGAAACAAGCTGCATATCCAGGTAGAAAAACACATCAAATGCAGATGCTTGACTGAGACTTGACCATGGCAGCACAAATATGAAGTTTTGTAAAAGAGAGCATGTCATGCTGAACTACAGAGGCTATAAATGAGAGCCAGCTCTCTGGTGCTACCGTTTATTGGGATCTTCTGAGTATATTTTTTTCTTTGTGTTTTTGTTTTTTTTTTACTGTAACACGTGACTTGGCTTGAGAAAATAAGATGAAATTACTGGAATGAGTGCACTAGAAGATATTTGTGTACCTTCCTTTTCCTATTTGTCACTAATTTACTTATACTCTGTAACTTTTCAAGAACATTTCCATAGGCCATACTAAAAGTCCCTCCCTGAAGTCTTGTCCTGCCCTTGCTACCTTCAAGTAAGAATGGTAAATTGGTGTGTGGCATCAGAGCTTTAGGGTTGTCACTTAAGAAGAACAGTTCTTTGTCCTGCATAGCAGATAGGGGACACCTGCAGTCTAGACTTCTTGATGTTACAAGTATATGGTCATAGCTGGAGCAGTCTTGCTTCTTACTGAACATTGAGTCAGACCATCCTAAGGACTTCTTGTCAAAGTTCCAAGTAGTAGAACTAACTGTCCTTTGCAGTATTAGGCAGCATGCTATGCTTCACTGTGAGGCAAATCATTTTCCTTTCTTGTAATTTTCTATTAAGTGCCTAGAATATTTTTTCGTTGCATTTGCAGCTTTCAGATCTTCAGATTCTGGTCTTTCAGTTTCAGGTGCTCAAATAGTACATGTTTAATTCTGACTTCTAAATCTGCACCAGTTCATTGTGTTGTCTCCATCTGATAACCTGTTAGGTACCATGTTGAAAACACCAGCTTTCAAACTGACAGCAGTCGGCAGCAGGCCCCATAGCTTGCACAGATTGCATGAACTAAATTTTCAAGGTCTTCAGAGGAAAACAGTATGGGCACTGAAAATAAAAGTTTAGCATGCATTGGTTTTAATAGGCTGTTGTATGGATGAGTGAATCTCATTACTGTATGCTGTACTACCAGAAGAGCCCTCAGAAATTAACACATGTTCTCTTTCTTTCCATTTTGTCTTTGTAGAAGGAAAGGTTCCAGTAAACGGGAGCCCAGAAGCTTATTGGAGAAGCTGCGCTGGGTGACCCTTGGTTACCATTATAACTGGGATACTAAGGTATTGGAATTAAATTCTTCTCCATTTTTGTAAGCTGTAAGCACTCAAAATGGCAAACAGAGGAGGACATCATCAAATAAAACACGTATGATTCTACAAGACAGTCTTGAGGAAAGGCTGTAACAAACTATGCTTTTTAGAACATTTTAATCTGCAGTAGTTCACTGTGAAGGATTTAACAGCACAAATCCATTGCTGCATTCTTTCCTTTGAGAGTTATTGTTATAGCATACACTCAGCTCTAGACCTTACCTCTTATGTCAGGGTAAATGAGCATTTTTATTGTACCAAAAGGAATGATCACAAAAGCATTGTTAACTATTTAAGGTCAGAATGACTTCTGAGAAACTACTCCTCTTTGAAGGGATGAACAGGAGCAAGAAGAGATGTCTGCTCCTGTGATTTTGAACTTAAATGATTCTGAACCAGTCTTACCAACTAATAGCTGTTTTGAGGCTCCTGATGAAAATAAAATTGTTTTCATAAGACTGAGTTAGATGGAGGCTGAGAAAGACTGGCAGAGTGGATATGCATCTTATCAGTATATTGAAGGTAACCAAATCTGCTTGCAGCAGCCTTTTATTTACCAGATCAACCTGTTTATTGGATGGCCTTAATAATAAGTATGGGTATTCTCTTCCAGTCCTCTCAGAATCACTCATGGGAGAGAGAAAAAGTAGTTTTGCAATCAACTCCTGTTTCTTATTCTTCAAAAAGGGACAAAGATGCTTGTTTTGTAGCTCTCTTGATGAGCTACAGAACTGTCTTTCTGTTGGCAGCTTTAGGTTGTGACTGAGAAGATCCTCAGGATGTTGGTACTAATCTTACTGACTTCAAGTTTAGCATCTAGATAAAATGATTAACTCCATGATTAATTGAATCTCTGGCAGTCTCAGCATAGGCCAAGAATTTAATGATAAGAGGTAAACTTGCTGTAGTTGTGCCTGTGTTGTAGTCATTTTCTAGGCAAACTTTATGTCCTTCTCTGTGACTTCCAGCCAGACTTTTGAGTTCTTGTTCAATGTTTGTTTCCAATTGTATTTGCTGCTCTGATGTGTTGGGTGTGGCTTTGTTTGTTTTTTTTTTTTTTCCCTTGCTCTCCTTCTTCCAGAAGTACTCAGCAAATCACCACACTCCTTTCCCCTCAGACCTTGCATTCCTGTCAGAGCAAGTGGCTGCAGCCTGTGGTTTCAGGGGTTTCCAAGCCCAAGCAGGGATCTTGAACTACTATCATTTTGACTCTTCACTGGGAATTCATGTGGATGAGTCTGAACTAGACCATTCTCGGCCCCTTTTATCGTTCAGGTAAGTCAAGGAAAGCACTTGAGCGTTGTGGAAAGATTAGTGGCTATTTTCTAGAGTTGCATATGGTTATAAGAAGCCAGTATGATGTACTTTGCTAATTGGGTATATAATCTTCACTCTCTGAAGATTTGAATAGCAGAAGACTGTAGTTCAAGGACTTAGGTTTTTCTCTGAGGACTGCTTGAATAGCATGGATGTAGCACCTGGAGTGGAAGAACTCTTTGCACAGAGCACTGTTCTGCTCTAAAGCAGCAGAGTGTCAATTGGTACTAACAGGCAAGGATGAAATAACTCAGCAGAGCTTCACACTGGCAGGACAACTGCTCACACAGTGCCTATCTTGAACCAGGCCTCTTAGTCTGTTTTTCATTTTCTAATTGTAAAGTTGTTACTAGGAGCCCATCTGGTTTTCATGATTGCTTGGGGTTTTTATAAAGGGATTTAGCTACTGATATTTTCTTATTGTACAGATAGTTGTTCTCTACCTGAATTTGTTTTCTCTTCTCTCTCCATCCTTACACCATCTCTAGTTTTGGGCAATCCTCAATATTTTTGCTTGGGGGCCGTAAGCGGGAGGAGGCCCCGACGGCGATGTTCATGCACAGTGGAGATATCATGGTGATGTCTGGCTTGAGCCGCCTGCTGTACCACGCTGTCCCCCGCGTGCTCCCCAACCCTGAGGGGACAGCCGTGCCTTCCTGCCTCGACCAAGCACTTCCTTCAGACCTTCCTGTTGGCTCAGTCATTGAACACAGCTCTGATGAGGACTGGCAGGTGTGTGCCAAGTACCTGCAGTCTTCCCGCATTAATATGACTATTCGGCAGGTGTTGGCTGAGGGTCAGAAATTTCCAGAGGATTCTGACACAAATGGAAAGGGCCAAGCACCCTCTGAAGACAGTCACCATGAGGAGAACAGCAGAGGCAAGAGACATAAACCAAATACAGTCAGCTGAGACCAGGAGATTGTGCTGGCATGGACGGGACAGGCAACCTCCATATGGAATTAGGACTAATGTAATATTGCAAGTCACTTGTCTATATTGGGATAATAAACTTGTGCAGAATAAATGTAGTCCTGCTTGCTGTAAGAAATAGGTGGGGGGAGAAAAAGAATTTAAAATGAAAAGAAGGGTTAAGTTCAGGACTGAGACTCAGGAGATGAACTCTATTGCCATTTTGTTGCAGATGTTTACTCTGTTCCCTTTAAAATATCTGTATGGTTTAAGCATTTGGTTAAGCTTAGTTTAAGCTTTGTGAGTGATGCTCTTTAAGTATTTTGAAATCATTAGGCAGAAAGCATCAGCAAAAGATACATATTTGCTATGTATTAAAGAATCTTGTTTGGCTTGCAAAGCTCAGCTGAAGTGCAGTAGCAAATATAAATGAGGATAGGCTGCTATAGGCATGCTATACAGCATTTTGAAGAGAATTACCTCTACAGCAAAAATTGGTTCAGTGGTCAGAAACTGGCAGCTCCCTCAAATGACAGCTGCTATAAGCTTGCTGTAGTCCTGTGCTCTCCTTTTTCCTCTTACACCCTCTCAGCTGCAGCAGGATCTGCTTTTATGAGTGGTACTGGACATTTTTTCGTATCTCAGATTTTAGAGAGAAACAACTGGGGGCAATATCTGCTTAGAATATCTAGTAGCTCCCAGCTGGGTCTCCTCCCAACAGAAAGTATGTGACTGAGCCCAACATCTCTATTCTTTCAAAACTGCCCCCCCCCCTTGAGTGCCTGTGGATTATGGTTCCCAGTCCCAAGCTAGCATCTTTAAGGAACAGAATGACTTGCAAATAGAAGCAATGAAGTTGTAAATTAAGTACCTAAAAAATTAATCAGTGACTATCTCTGTCACCCGAAGATAAATATATTGAAACAAAGAAAAGCACAAGCTTTTGTGCCAGTTCTTTTTAAGACTCAGACTTTCCTATCTGCTTTTTAATGCAATTTTAATTGCTGGAGTGGAATGCACTATCCCTGGGGTATTTTGTTGCACTTTCCCAATGAATAAACTTAGCTAGTTTTTAAATTAAAGATCTCTTATCAGTTTTGGGCTATTTTCTTCCTTTTTCTCCCTGTTAGTTATTTCAGTGTATTGTTAATGCTGCTGCATCCCTTGTGTAGTTCCCTCCAGGCTTCTTTTGGATCTACTGCCTCTGCCATCTGCCAGCTCTGGCGGAGGAGCCCTGTGTATGTCTGCAGGGCTTCTCTGCTTATGGGCAGCTCAGGGTTTGTTGGGCAGTTGCAGAGAGGTGTTGCCTGCAGTATCAAAGTCCAATTTAGTACATATGTGGCAGTTCTTTCCTCATGGGTAAAGTGTCTGGTCTTCTTATTTCATAGCAGGTGAATGTGTGTTCGTGTGCTATTAATTCCTTACAAAATACTGCAAAGAGCTCCAGTAATTTAAAGTCTAAAATAATCAGATGTGGGTTTCAGTATCTTATTCTATGTTAGACGTGTGTCCTTTCTGTATCCTAGGCCTGGTGTATTTACAGCTCAGCCCTAGGACAGTGAATGTATTATGCAGAGAGGTTTACAACATGACCAGAAAGGAAAGCTGACTGAGTCAGGCTCAGAAAACAGTGAAGTTCTCTTAGTGGCACCTGAAGGTGGGGAAGGGGAGAGGAATATCTGTTTTCCTCACAGTGAGAAGACAGACTGTGTGTTCTTCACTCTTGAGCAGGGAGCAAGAGTCATCCAACTCATCTCTGAAGATGAGAGAAGGCAGAGTCATGGAACCAGGTGGTGGTGAATTGGAGCTGGTTTCTTCACATCACAGGCTGAGGTCTTAGGTCCATGGTTCTCATTCCTTATGTCTTCTTCTGTTCCCTACAAATATGTAACATACGACAAGCAATCATTTATTCCAGGGTTCAGTTGTTCCTGTGACTTGAGGACAAGAAACCATACTGTTTATCCTCTGCACTTTAAAATTGTAGTAAATGCTGGAAACTACTCATGGCATTTGTTTGTGAGAAGCATCTGGTCCATTGAAGCCTTATGTTTAGATGTGACTGAGTCGAGAATTTGCTGAGTTGCTGACTTGCAGTCAAGCTTGTTACCTAATGCCAGTGTGAGAGAGACAGCTCTGATCTCATTCTGTATCAGACACCTAGAAAAAGAAAAGTCCATGACCCAGAAATGGGCATGCGGGAAATGACCCAGAAAATAAAAAAGGCATCCATGTACAAAGAGAAACAATAATAAGAAGAAAGAATTTCCTGAACTGCCAGCCCAGCAGGATCATTGATTCTGTGAGTACAAATGAGCAAACCACAGGACTTCTGTGGGCTCTGTAAACTGTGCTTCCAGAATTTCAAAGAGGCAGTAGCGGTCCTGGAAAGAAGGCAGGTGGTAGGGCTGCATCCAGTGATATACTCAGGAACCACTGACCTACTCCACACAGCTTTCAGACTCTGACATTGCACCATATTTGCTTAGGTTTGTGATGACATAACAGGATTTTTTCATAGCACTGATCAAATTTTTTTATCTATAGGTACTACAAATAATTTCTTGTGTTCCTATAGGTGCATGCTGAGATAATCTCTGTAGTTTTTAATTCCTCTGAGGGAAGGGAGGGAAAGAAGAGGACATTGGACCAATTCTGCAAGAAAATTTATGTAATAAGTGGATTACAGGAAGATAATCATGTGTTTATTTCGAAGCCACCTGGAATTGAAGCACATTGTTTATCACATGTACACATCACATTCTTTGTATGATCTATAGCTAAGGCTGGCTGTCCAACAGAGTTTAAACAATTACTGCTTTTTTATTATAACCAAGAATAAGGGAAAATAAAATCTCCAGTTAAATCAGAATCAGAGGACACTGGAAGCAGACAAGGAAACTGCTGGTACAAACTTAAAATTTTCAGACCTCTTCAGAGTACTGTGCTAGACAAGTTCAGTGTTACAAACTGGACTGCTGGCTAGTGCTTGAGACAGATCTACTCTGCATGCCCACCAGGCAGTAACTTATGGGCAAGGCAATCCCTAAAGCTGTGCCTGCTGCTGGAATGATTCTGATCTTACCTATTTTTCCCTTCTTTGAGAGCTTGTTGACCTTTTTTCCTCACTGTTCCTCAGAAGATATTTCTACAGATTGTAGTAAGGTGCACCTAAGCCCCTCTATTTATGCTGTGTGCTCCTCTGCTGAGCTAGTAGGCAGAGAGCAGTGAGTGGCTCAGGAAAGAAGCTGGTAGGTAGGAACTACCCAGACAGTGGCACAGTATTGCACTGCCATGGCTACAGATCCAGGCTGAAGCTGGCTAGTATCTTATGTAGTGCAGACAAGAGCTCAGATCTGTTTTCATCTGTTTATATAAGTTATTCTCATTCTCTGCATCACACCTGAAACAGGATAGATTTAGCACAGAAAAGAGACTTGTCAGTGACAAGACTGTCTTCCACTTAATTAGAATGCAAAATTAATTGAGCTATAATTCAGTGTGCTCTAAGCATACTTTAGTTCTGATGAAATCGTAAAATTTGCCTGAGTCTGAACACATTACCTCAAAAAGTTAACAGAAACACATTAACAATCCAGAAAAATAAGTTGTTGGAGGCTTCAAAAGACCCATATAAAAAGGGCCTTTTTTTTTTATAATCTCTATGCAAGAAGAGACTTAGAGAAAACCAGTGACTGTCATCCAGTCTGCTGATGTCTCTGTAAATCCTAATAACCAAAGTTGGTTGAAAATAATGTGTATTATAATTCTATAGATCTGGTACAAGAGGTACAAGATGTGACTGATGCAAGTTTAGCACAGTACAAAATAAGTTCCACTATTTATATTCAGCAAATAATAATCACAAATACCTTAATAAACCCATTTTTTTTCTATACAAGGAATCAACAATGACTATGTTCATGTGTCCTCTGGTAAAGTTTAGGTGACATAAAAGTTGCCACCGTGCAAGTGACAGCTTTGCTCATACAAGCTGTTTCCTTGCATCATCATCTGGTATCTGTTGTCAAAGGACCACAGAAACAGTGGTTGAGGGGACCTCTGGAGGTGTCTAGTCCAACCTACCACTAGGAATAGTGCTGTTGCCCACAGGAGACTTAGAAACCTTCCATGATGGAGACTCTACCATTTCTTTCAGTAATTTGCAGCCAGTGCTGCCATACTCACCTTACTAAGAAATTTTGCCTTATGTCCTGGCTGAGTTACCCAAAATACAACTTGTATCCATTCCCTCTCCATTTTTCTGACCATCTGTTGCTGCCAAGAGTTTGCTTCCACTGTCTTTGTAACTCTCCTAGAAATAATTGAAGTCTACAGTTAGAGCCATCCCCCTTTAGTCTCTTCTGAGCCTCATGGAAGGACCCTGGGACCCACAATATTTCCCCATAGATAACCCTCGGCCCCTGACTTTCCTCACTCAGCCCTTTTCAGAACCTTTTCTGATTTCAGGTGCTGCACTGCTTTTCTCTGCTAGTGCTGGTTTCTGTTACAACCAGGATGCCAACAAAAAATTGACCATCCTATTGAGTATCCTAGTTCCTAAATCTGCTAGATACTAGATCTACTGGATCCTATGCTGTGGGATTTTTTTACAGTGTTTCCTAAATTAAATATTTTTTCCTCCCATCTACATACAATAAAAGAAAAATAGTAGTTTTGTGAGGTGCAGAATGAATGTACCATGGTTCCCTGTGGATTTATGTTCCTGAAAAATTCAGGTCTCACTGAAACTTTTCTTCCAGCTGAGTATTTAAAAGTAATTTTTTTCCATGTGATCTCCCCAGAGTTTAATACATGCACAGTGCACCCTTTTCCTGAATCAGTATACTTATAGGGTCCCTCTCCTCTAACAGGCTGCCTACTACCTGCTACTTAATTAGCTGTGAAATCTATCAAATCTAATTGAAATAGACCAACAGGTTTCAAAGTTACTGGGCAGGAATGTGAGGACACACTGAGCTTAACACATGCACAAACCATCAGAACACATGCCTTATTCCTTTAGAAGGTCAGTCTCAAAAGGCTACTTCCTTGCTCTTAATGCAAGTCTGTCTGGACTTTTATAGCAGGTCCTGCTCTGAAGGGTTCTGCTCTTGAGGTCCCAGTGAAGAGAGGAAAAATCTGGAATATCAGAGTAGTTTTAGTCCAGCAGGCATGATCCCCATCTGGTTCCTGCTATTTTATGACCCCTCTTAGTCTATGCACAGAGACTGAACTTAATCAGCTAAATGCTTATCTCTCCAAGGCGGCAAATAAGTCTCTGGAGTACAGCAAGGAGCCAGACCTGGTTTTTATTGGAAGGTAGGGCTTGTATTCAGATAAGCATTATGGGAGGTAACACTTCCACTACATCACGGATGAAGGAGGGAGGGGATAAAGTCTGAAAAAGCTTGTAGTAGCTTTCCCTCTCTGCAGAATAGAGATGTTTATTCCCCTGCACAGCAAAAGCTTTAGGCTTGTGCAGACAATTCCCATCTTGTTTTTTCCCAAGTCAGTAGGGACTATTCTGTCTCTGACCTTTTCCTATGGGGCTGCTGAATGTCCTCTTCCACAAAATCTCCATGTGTAGTGGGCTCTCCCCTGAGCTCTGTGTGGGCCTCACCTTTTTGTGCCTGTAATCACACATCTTAGCACTGAGGTTGTGCCCTCCTTCACCATCACTCAATGCTTTTTTCCCTAACTCAAGTGCTCAGTGCTGCTGCCACCTGCCCACAACACAGCTTTCCTAATCTGTTTCATGATCTCAAAGCTCTTCCAAAAGGTAGGTCAGCACCAATACCCCCCCGGAAGGTGAGAAGCAAGGCCAATTTATACCAAAATGTGGGGAAAATGAAATAGAGGTATGGTGAGGTGGCATTCACACTTACGTGTAGAAGTGGTGCTTAGGGACATGTCCACCACAGCCAAGGCTTAGGGTTAGGTGTTAGGTTTATGCTTGGACTCGATAATCTTAGAGGTATTTTCCAACCTAAATGATTCTATGAATCTATGAGGCACAATGAACCACTCTCCAAATATTCTTATTGAACTATGTATAGA